AAAAAAAAAAAAAAAAAAAAAAAAAAAAAAAAAATCTTGTACACTTTCCCTTTAAGCATTTAAAGTAAAGGAGTTAGAATAGCAATTTGAAAAATTTTTATGACAATGTCAATTCCAAAAGGCAGCACTCAACAGCAACCGCCTCTAAAATTTGGTAAATTTTTCTAAACATAGACGGTGTTGACCTTAGCTTTGTTTTAAACTACTGCCAATTGCAAATATTTGAATGTATGAAAAGTATATGCGCGATTAACTGCTTTGTTTTAAATACATTAACAATGTTTATAGTATGAAATAAATAACTGTGGCTCCTATCATCACACGAGCATCAGCGCCAGTGTTAACAATCGAACCTCAAATTTCCATGACTGGTGTAATGTGAGTTTTTTCTAAAATCTGTAAAGGTTATTTCACTTCCTGGGAGTCTGATTGACAGTCAACTAACTGCTAAGGGCTTTCGAGAATTAAGAAGCTTTTTGAAAAAGAAAGCACTGTGAAGGGTAATTATTTGTTAATAAATCTGCGTTTGTTGCTATTCTAACTTTATAACACCGGACCTCCTGAGATCAACAATCAGCACCTCCAGCTGTGGCTGTTTTAAGAAGGGATTTTAAAAGAATTTTCAAACTGTATTTCAACCCGTATTTAAAAAAAAAGTGCTTCTTACGAGAAACAGAGAACTACATTGGAACACTGAGAAACGTGAAAAAGTATTGAGCAACATGGTTCCTGTCGCTGTAAATTAGTTTCTGAGAATGAGACCTAACCATGGATATCGGAACATTAACCCTCTTTTACACATTTTTGGTTACTAACTCGCATTGTTAAAGAGCCTTTTGGCGCACACACTCTGAACAGAGTAGCGAATACAATGATTTAAAAAGTGGTGGTTTGAAAGAAAAAAGTCCGGAAACGGGGTCCGGATTTTGGAACGAACGAGTTCCAGTGATTTAAAAGGTAAAATGGTCTAGTTAAAAAGAACCGGACAGAAAGCGATTTGGTTTACTTGGCAATGAAACAAAGCATCAGTGCTGGTGGTCCCATGTGAAACGACTTGGCAAACTACCCTGTTAAACACGGCAACTTTGTTAGCACTGGTA